CCCCCCGGCCCAGCTGGAGGGACTGTGGGGCTATTCCTGCCTGTGCCGGAGCGGGAAATTTGGGAAAGAGGGGGTCAGGGCTGCGCACGCTGGTCCCCACCGGGCCGGGGGGCTGGGAGCGAGGGCGCATGGGGGAGAACTAGTGCCAGTGGGGCCCAGAGTGGGGTGGCTCCCCTCTCTTCCTCCTGGGGCAACCCAGCCTGGCTCTGTAGAGCACAGCCAGCTGCACCCCAGGCTCCTGCCACCCTGCTCTGGGCCCCGCTGGCACTGGCCCCAGGGCACCTCCTGGCTGTCGCTGGCTCCCAACCCCCTTGTCTAGCCCTGGGGACAGCACAGGGGGCGCCTGAGGCTGCTGGGGGCAGCAGGAGCTGGTGGGGACGTGGCCCCGGGAGGCGGTACGGAATTTGTATCCTGCGCCAAAGGCTTGGGGTGGCAACAGCCCGGCTGCTCCCCCCCCCATGGGAGGCTCCTGTGGGTGCTGCCACCCTGGGGGGAAGGCCTGGGCTCCCCCACCCCACAGGGGCCCAGCAGCAGCTCACTTCCTGGCCCCAGGACAGGTGGAAGGCTGCAGCGAGAGCGGAGCCGCAGCTGCTTTTCTGTTCCAGAAGCTCCTGTGGCCGTGAGGAGCCCAGGGGTCCCAGGAAGTTTCTGACCGGCCCTGGGGGCGGTGTGGGTTGCCTCTCGAGGCTCCTGGGGGTGGCATGACCTGGCATGGTCCCAGCCTGGGGCACGGGAAGCTTGAGGAGGCCGCAGTAACTTTTGGAGCAGAAAAACAGCTATGGCTCCACTCCGGCTCCTGGCGCAGCCTCCCGTCCATCCTCAGGCTAGGGGACAAGCTGCTTCCAGGCCACTAGGCCCCTGTAGGGCAAGGGGGGACCAGGCCTTTCCCCTGGGGCAGCAGCACCCACTGGGGCCACCCATGGTGGGGGCAGCCAGGCCGTTGCCATCCCAAGCCTTCTGCTGGTTTCCAGCGGCTCCGAGAGCACCTTGCACTGCCCCCCGAGCCTGACAGGTCCTTCCCCGGCAGCCCGCAGCCTCCTGGCGGCAGCAGAATCCGCTGGAGTGCAAACATGGCCATGAGGCTTTGGGCAGCAAGGGTCTGGCTGGCTCACCTCTTGCAACCCTTCCTGCAAACTCCACAGTCACACCATCCTCCAGACACAATCACACATCCCACAAATACCGCCCCCCCACCACCACCACATGCACACACCTTGACACGCCTGCATACTCCACACACACTATACAAGAGTAAGTCTGCATTTTGAGTTATTATGCAATCACTTTTACATATGAAACATTTTTGTCCTGATAGGTGTGTGTTTGTGCATATTTTTAATTGAATTATAATATTATAGGTATTTGATTTTTTTTTAGTACATAATTTGTTTTTTTCCGGTTCTAAGATAGCAAACCCTCTTCTCTGAAGGAGTACTTCTAGGGGCAAGGGGAGGGACTTCTGGTGGCAAGGGTCAGAGGTCATGGGTGGGACTTACGGTCCCAAGATGGCAACCAGGGGGCGGGGCACCTGTTAAGGGGTGGGGTTACCCATGAGGCACTCAACAGCTTGCAAAAACTCGCTAAGTGGCCCTCTGCCCAAAATAATTGCCTGCTCCTGGCTTAAAATGACTGAAATTAAAACATGGTATTAATGTGATTTCTAGGCTGAAAGCACCTTTGCAGTTTAGTGTGCAGTCATGTAACAGAAACAGGATATATTATACAGTATCAACATTAAGTAGTATGATCAAGTGATAGTCTCTCAAACCCTAGTCTAACGTTTAGGGTTCTATTCCTGTCCCTTCAACTGACCTGTAATGTGAGTTGGGGTTAGCTTTCAGTTTTCCTGATTATCTTTGGTTGTAAGCCCTTTTGGGGCATGGCCTTTCTTTCTGTCTCTGTCTCTGTCTCTCTTTTGGCTATGCGGCAGAGTTTCTGCCTACCACGTGGGAGATCAGAGTTCAAGTCCTAGCTTTAGTGACTTGGGGTAAGTGAGCTCTTTCTTTTTTTGAATTTTGATCTTGGTTAGGACCTGTGCTAGTCATAATAATTCAGATAAATTCTGGGATTCTTCCTTTGGTGGTAACCACGGTTGACTCTTCAAAAACTGAATACTCTTTTAATATGCCTGATACTACTTCATTAGCTGCAGGGGAAAAGGTTCCTTCCTGGCCTACAATAATTGGATATGTTCACTATAATTTTACCTTATCTATATAGAATGTTATTAATAATAACATTATTAAGACAGAGTAATTTGTGTGCAGCCAAGGATTGTAAACTACCTTTTGATGTCCCTCCCGAGGACCTCGTAGACATGAAGGAAAAAGTTGACAAGTCACTTGTTATTCCTGTCTCCTGCTTTTTTACAGTCTGATGTTCACACTCTACATTCATTCCTTTTTCCTGAGCTCATTTATAACTTGTTAGTAACCTTCATGTGCCTTTATATCATTAAACACTCCCTATATCTCTTCCTCCTTTAATTACTGCATAAGCATTCTTTTAAAAACAAAAGGAAACCCCCAGCCTTTCATCACCTCATCACCCTTCTAAATTAAAGGACCTAGATTTCAAAGTCACTTCAGTTGGCTTTTTGCCACCTAGGCTCTGTAGAATTGCATGTATTGTTATGTCGGATATCCTCTATTGATGATTCTCTTGTCCTTAACTTCATCCCTGTTCTTGATATTTCAGATACTGTTGAATGCTGGGGTTTTTCCGTAGCCACCCTGTTTCTCTCGATCTTTTTATAGGTCCTTCCTGTGATGGCTCTCCATTAAGTTCTTGTCTGTCCTTTCTTTAACTCCTTTGGTGATAGCTCTTTTTCTCTCTGGTCCTTGCTATTAGATCGTAATTATTTGCTTCCCATTTCTTTTTTGGGGGTGATCTCATCCGCATCCCACGTTTTGTTACATTTGTGCTGAAGGTGTTAATTATTCTTTACTAAACCTACTGGTATTGCATATCTGTTTCTAGTGCAAGTTTTGTTGTTTTTTTTATCTGACCAAAGCAGACTTCAATTTTTATTTTAAATCCTTCCCCTCTTTCTCATTTCACCATTTGGTTTTAACCATAGCTATCCATTCTGAGTCTCAGGCTTCTTTAATCTGTCCCCTCTTGGAAACTCTTTTTTTCCCT